GTGAAAATTGTACAAAATAGAAGAACCATCCTTGGTTCTATATACAGCCATTGTTTTTTTTTAAAGAACCCTAAAAGTACCATCTTTTTTGCAGAGTGTAGGATCTACTGCTCCCTGCAGCCCTGAGACTCTTCAGCACTGAATTTAGTTTAATTTATCCAGTGTAGATATACAATGTATGTGGATTATTTATCTAGAACACCTGTAGCTGGTGAGATACATTAGGTTATTTACAGTGTGTGCAGAGTGAGGTTTAATTTAGAGGCTCGTACAGCAGAAGAACTCCACTGCAAACTGCACATCTCATTAAAAACGTCCCTCAGATTCATCTGCTAATGACAGACAGGCACGCTGGAGTTTATTCCTCAGTGAATCGGGGAAAAAAGCGAGAGTTTTGTTGTTTTCAGACGGAGCTCAGTTAATAATTCCCAGACAAGTGGCACTCTAAAGAACCAGCCAGTCGTGTCAGCTTTGGAGCCGATGATTACAAACTCATCCGCCTAAATTAAACCAGACCAGCCGCAGCGGACGGCAAAACGGAACAAAACAAAGAACAAATCCCCAGAGAGCGGGTTCAGAGGAGCGAGCGCTGCATGTCAAATCTGTTAAATATCTTCCGCAGAGAGCTGGGAGTGGGTCATGTTCAGAAACGAGCCAATAACCCACCGGCTTCTGCTCTATTATTGATGAAGATCAATACTGCAACAGTATGTGGGAGGCAGGCCGGATCAAATAAACCACCAATACATTCACCAGCCTGCTCACAACCCACTGCAGAGGATATAATCAGAGAAAACAGTGGCTTTAAAGCGATAAATCTAATTCCCCCTAATTTAAACGTAGTCAATCAGCCAAGACATGTTTGGTGTCTAAAGTTGGGTTCTGTAGTTTTAGCACTAGAGCTACGAGGCTAATGTGGCTAACAAGAAATGGAAGCTTATACACACCAACTGGCACAGTCAATGATGTTATTCTCACTAACTGGAAACTGTAGAACAGACTCAGTTTATATCAGAATACCTACATTTAGAGTCGGTTATTCATTCAATCTGATGAGAAACTGTAGAACAGACTCGGTTTATATCACAATACCTACATTTAGAGTCAGTTATTCATTCAATCTGATGAGAAACTGTAGAACAGACTCGGTTTATACCACAATACCTACATTTAGAGTCGGTTATTCATTCAATCTAATGAGAAACTGTAGAACAGACTCGGTTTATATCACAATACCTACATTTAGAGTCAGTTATTCATTCAACCTAATGAGAAACTGTAGAACAGACTCGGTTTATATCACAATACCTACATTTAGAGTCAGTTATTCATTCAACCTAATGAGAAACTGTAGAACAGACTGGGTTTATATCACAATGACTACATTTAGAGTCAGTTATTCATTCAATCTAATGAGAAACTGTAGAACAGACTCAGTTTATATCACAATACCTACATTTAGAGTCAGTTATTCATTCAATTCAATATGCTAACGTTAGCTCAATTACACAACAAGAAAACTCCACCTGATCTAATCTAACATTATGATTAAATGAGTAATGAGCTGTTTGAGCTGCTTTTATGCGCATTTTACTCACCCACAGGTGACTTTTTGCATGAATGCAGCTAAATGTTAACCCAACCACGACCTTTTTTTTGGCAATCAAAAGTTCTGTAGAACAGACTTTGGTCTCTTTTACTTTTTCTAATAAAAAATAATATTTATAATAATAAAATAAAGCTGCAGTTTTCCTCATGTTTTTACAAGACTAGACTGGCCTGTACAGTATTATGTTTGTTTAATAGGTCAACCTATTAAACTCACAAAGCTCAGCGTTCCCTCCAGAGGGAGAAACTCTCTCCCATAGAAACCACTTTTCTCAGCTGCCTAAAACGCCTCGTTGGAATTCCAGTCCTTTTTCTTTGTTACAAGATGACTCAATCTTGTAATGCAGTCCTTACTGCCTGCCTACCGGCGAGTTCAGCATGCCCTCACACAGCACACAGCGGCTACTGGAGGAGGAAGAGTGAGGTCAGTGTTGTGGCCATGTGAAGAAGACACTGACTGGACTTTCGGGATCGACTCTGGATCAAACTGATACGGCAGAACTGACGCCGCTGGAGAAACAGCCACAGCATTTATAGCTGCTCAGGAGAGAAAGGTCTGTCTGTAGACTGCAGGACAGGGGCGGAACATGGAAGGGCGGAACCGCTTTGGAGGTCGATCAGAACAGGGTGAGGTGACCAATCAGAGCACGCTTGGCTCATCAGGAGGCAGGAGCTCTAACAAAGCGTTTCAGACAGAGGGTGAGTAGTAGTGTTTTGGAACACTGAGGCTGTAAAGACCAAATATACAAATATGCAGCATAACACAGAATCAATCAAAATAATGTAAGTCAGTTTTAATGTAACATCAAGGTTTACTAATATGTTTAAAGGGCCCATATCTTAAACTTTCCTTTCATTTCTTTTCTGTATAATGTTCACTTATACCATTTGTGCAAGTTTATGCACCATACACAGTTACAAATAAAGGTTCTGTGCAGGTACATTTTTCATTCATCAAGGTACAAACAATGTAAATGTTCGCTCAAAGGTACAACAGTGGTTTTAAGGTCCAATTGTAAACCTTAAATAAGTTTTTCCAGGTGAAAAGTACGTATTTGTACCTCTTCATAACCAAATGTTTTAAAACAGAACAATAAAATAAAAAGCATGGAGACGAGACGGGGTGTGTGGAGTCAATACAACTTAGAAAATAACATTTTAATGGATTAAGGCACAATTATGTTCCCTGACTAAAGGTATTGAGATGTACTCTTGAGGGTCCCACCCTAGTGACAGTTTAGTACCTTTATTTCTGAGAGTGTAATTCATTTTCACAAGTCCATTCTCCAACCTCTCTTTATCCCTTAGAATTAAACATTGCTGTGCCTTTAAGACTGATGTACGTAAATGAGCACTGTTCTGATTGGCCGCCCTGTCAAAATGCAGTCTGGGCTGAAACACTTGACCATGACCGGCCAAGGGCTCATCTATTGTGGGCTGGATATGCATAGCTGTGTTGTTACATCACAAAAACAATGGTCCTCATTCAAGAAATTTCTTCTTAAACCCACTTATACAGTTTTGACGAAGATTCTGACATTCACCAGTGTTTTCTAATTTGGGGTTTGTTCTTAGGTAAGAACAGAATCTATGTACACTTAAGAGCACAAAGATGAGAACAGTTCTGTGCTTTAAGAATATGTCATGAATCTGACGCAGACTTTTTCTTAGGACCTCAAGAACACATTTGAGAACAAACTTAGGGAGATATTGAAGAACGAGGCCCAATGAATTCAAAACAGCTTAGCAGCTTAGTTCCCATATATAAACTGTTCGGCCTGTTAGGTTTGAAACTTGTTTACATACTACATCACATAAGGAACATTCAATTTTCAATTATATGGGCCTTTCAATGATCTGCCCTGTATTTAGGTCCCTGCAAGGACCTAAAAACATGCTTAGGCGCGCACACAAACACCCCAGCCACCAGACTGTTTCTATGCGCACCACAAACCATGCATATAGCTCCGTTTTTCTAGCATTAGCATCAGTTGTTTACTGTGCCGTCACCTCCTCCGCTGAGCAGCAGCCATGCTGGATTCTCTCCTAACAGGGCGAGAGTGAGGAGAGAGAGAGTGTGAGACGTCTCACACCAGCAGGGCCGCGCTCACACTCTGTCCTAATGGGCCGTTTGGGGCCCGGTAATTGGCAGACTCCCGCTGCGTGAGCGTCCGCCGCCTGCTCTGGCCCGGGCCTGCATGTATGTCTGAGAGCTAATGGCGTCCAAACACATTGCACTCCATTAATGGGGGCCCTAATTGGTGTTTGTGTCTCTGCGGACGCCGTCGAATCCCATAGAAGGCCGAGGTAGGGCCTAGACAACGGAGATCGCGATGGCCGATGATGCTGATGCTAGCACAGGCGCGCTGTGGAAAGCGCCAGCGTGTGTATTCATTAGCGAGCCAGCTCACAACAACGCGCTCTTTTATTTATCTCACGCTGAGACATCAAAACTCAGCACACGACATACAAATCATTAGTGTCAGGAGGACGATATAAATGAGGTCCGTGCAGAGCGAGAGGAAGGAGAAGAAGAGAGGGCAATAATAGCATCGTTAGCAACATGTGATCAGCTTATTCTGTCCTTTGTACAACCGCACACTGTAAAACGTGTCTGTCAGTATGAAAGCAGTCAGCTTCCACCAGCTATGGCCTCTCCGGAGCCATAAACAACAAACACAAATAGGGGCTTTTAGAGGAATTGCCTGAGCTCTGAAGATTGATAGCGGTGGCCTACAGCCAGAGCGAGTGAGGCAGAGAGCGAGAGAGGAGGTGAGGGGAGATTAAAACTGCCATACTGTTAAACTGGAGTGATTAAGTGCCGTGCTATTCCCACCAGACTTAACAGACAGAGTGCTGCCAGCTAAGCCATCGCTGATTAAGTGAAGTACACAATGCTACGAGAACAAACCAAAAAGAGCAATAAGCTGATTATTATTAGAAGAAGAAAAAGTAAACAGCAAAGAATTCACCCTTGAAAAGGATTTCAATGAAATCTCAGGCTGCTTCATTAGTCTCATTATGTACTTTAGGTCAGTTTATTCAGGTTAGATGTACAGGGACAATGCACATTATTATTAATAATAATTATTATAAAGCAATTGTGCCAGTTTAGCCAAGTTGTAAACAATTCAAATGCTAACCAAAACCCTCACAAATGCCACAAAAGCAAATTAAAATGTTGTATCTGATGATTCAAATTTTAAAATATGTGCCAGTGTTATCATTTTCAGTTATATTATCAACATCACACAGCGTTAATTTGATTTATTTAACGAAAAATTATTATATTTTCTACATATTTTTAAAAAGCAGCATTAGCGCCACAGCGGGCAGCGGCCGCGCGCCGTCTCCATGGCAACGGCGAGCCTAGCAACGACCGCGTCCTTAGCAACGCAAACAGAAGCGGAGAGAAACGCGGAGGGCAGGGGAGCTGATAAACTGACCTCACAGAGAGAGAGATAAACAGATAAACGGGTAGACAGACAGATAGAGAGATAAAGAGTGGAGGTATGTCGCTGTGCACAAACCTGAGGAGCGCTGAGTTAATCAGAGCAGAGCCGCTGAAGACGGAGGGATTCACCGTCAAATCAACCATGAAGAACTCAATAGTAAGTTACTGTGGGGCTAACGGCTAACTGCTAACCGCTCTGACTGTCCGTAACTTTCTCTAACTTCTGCTCTAACTTCTCCAATTTCTTTAACCAAACTAACTTCTGCTCTAACGTTTGTAACTTCTCATCTAACTTCTATAACTTCTGCTTTAATTTCTGCTCTAACTTTTGCTCTGACTACTATAGTTACCTAACTTCTGCTCTAACTTACGTAACTTCAGGAAGGAGTGGGCAAACTGCATATCACCTACACTGCACATGTTATTTGCCTCAGCCTAGATGCTGGAGCACCAACTCAACGAACACCATTGTTGTGATGTTGTCAGTCATATTTATACTGGTCCTTAAGATCTATATGGTTCCAGAACAAAGTTTTACAGACCAAATGAACCAGTGTGAATGAGCACTTTAATGTTGGAGAACATTCCAGAGCAGGGTTTTCCAGTCTTATCCGCACAGCGCCAGTGTGGCTGCAGGTTTTCATTCCAACAAAGCAGGAATATGTGATCAATAGTTTGAAGACTGAGACCAACTGATCAAACAAGTGGAATCAGGTGTGCGCCAGCTTGTTTGGAACAAAAATCCGCAGTGGACACCAACCCTTCTCCTGGAGATCTATCTTCCTGCAGATTTCATCTCCAACCCAAATGTAGCACACCTTATTCAGATAATCAAAGACTTCTGAGAGCAGTAATGATAATGATCAGGTGGGGATAATTAGCACTGGAGCTAAAGTCTGCAGGAAGGTAGATCTGCAGGACTAAAGTTGGTGACCACTGCTTTAGAGATGACTCACATATACAGCACACTACCCACACATTTGGGTTTGTTGGAGAACTTTGGGTCAGTGTGCTCTGGGCTTTGGGCATTAAATGGCCCATATCCTTCATTGTTCTTCTATTTTATGACATTTCGACTCAAAGACATTTCGACTTCAAAAGGCAGCCTTCTAACTTCAGCCTTTAAGGCTGTTATTTATGTAGTAATATCAACAGAAATCTCATGATTAGGTTCACGGCTGGCTAAAATTATTGAGGCCAGAGCACACAGACCCAAAAAACACCAGTATGTTTACAGTTGTGGTGTAAGCATTCACAAAATGTATTACTCAATACTGTGCTATATAATAGTATCTCAATTTGACACAGCAAAAATAAGTAGTGGCTGAAAATGAGCCTTCTGTTAACATGTTAATGTTTTGTATTTTCAGTTTATCAGGTGTTATGAAAGGACACTGTCTAAAACAAGACTTATAGCATTTTCAACTAAGGCTCTGGCCTCAAGCTCATATGGTAGCCCCAAGCTAACAAACTAGCCACGACATGCTAGCATGCTAATCACAATATAGCAATACAATGTTTCAGAATAATACGGTACTTTGTATTGTTTATCATAGTGTCCAGCTGCTGCCCAACAGAGCAACCATACGTTCACACTAGCAGGCGACAAAGCGACAGGCATCCTGTCATTTCCTGCAGGGTATGCAATTTGTAGCCGCCATTTAGCGACTAGCGGCAAGCGACATGGCGACAGAGTGGCAAGTGACAAATCGAGTTGAAATCTTCTCAACTTTATGAAGTGACATTAGCAACTTGTCACCTCTTACTGTGAACAAACGGCAGGCCTGGACTGGGCCTGAAGAACTTGCTGGGGGCGGAGGGTACGTTGTTAAGAACTTATACCTGTGTTATTTCTCTCTGATACACAATGTAATGCTTGCTTTACCACACGGATACTGCTACATTTACTTTACATGTATGGAATCGAAATGAACGCTGACATTCTTTCAGCTCATCTCAAAGTGACTCGCTGCAGTTAAAAAATAAGCTAATGCTAACATACACTAGAAGACTCAGAGGAATTTGTAAAGACTTTTGAAAGACTAAAGTCTGACACCCTCTCACATCTAAAGACAATGTCACAGTTTTTAGTCACAGACTATGATTTTGCAGGGTAACTATTTGCAAGACTGCAACGAGTTTTGAGTTTATTTCCCAGTATGCACCAGGTGGAAATTTACAAGCAGATAAAAGCAGTTGGCTGGACATGTAAAGATCTGGGGCTCAGCCCAGTTCTCTGTAGAACTGTATACTCTGGCAGATCATCACCCAGATTTTTTTGAATTAACCGGCAAAATGTGCAGTTACTTTTTTATTTAACATAAAGATTTACACATCAACAAAACATGCAGCGATTCGGCATCGTTGATTGGGTGTTATGAACTAAACCATAAGAAACACTGTAACATACAGTTTTATCATATCGTGGTCAGCAAAAAAGACTGATTTAAGATGGCTGTCCTGACCACCTTACACTAAACGATTTTGACGCGAGCGCTACGCGACTCTAGCAAGACTCTCATGATTTTATTTCGACATTGGAAATTTGTCTGTGACGAGTACAATCACTTGAAAAGTCGTTTGGTGTAAGGCCGGTATAAAATGACTGGATATTATCATAGAGCAGCTAAGTTAACTCTAACCTGGAGAGAAAGCTCCTCTGATCCTTGTCTACGACTGGTGTTCCCAGAAAAAGGTAGTAAATAACATTAAATAAAATGTACACAAAATTTTATTCTTTCTTTATTGAGTAATAATGTGGCCTTTAAAGCTCTGGTAGAGCAAATTCTGAGTAAAATGCGCAGGATTTTCTGTGCTGAATAATGAAAACATGGCTGTAACGATGGAGAGCGCCTTGTTTTTAATGTGGAAAGCACGTGGGCTTAGGAAATCACTTGCAGTCTGAAGTTTCTGTTATGTTAGCATGCAAGTTGCTGTGAATCTGCAGCAGAAGAAGTTTGTGAAGGTACATGTTTGCAGTAATGTTTATTATAACGACAGGTTTTAAGAAGCAGTTGTTGGGCCGCTCAGTATCATTTTTAGAGCAGTTATTAGTGTTTAAAAAGCATATAAACTAAAATAGACTAGAAAGTAAGCTGCTGTGGACCACGTGTATTTGGGGAGGGGGGTGAAATTATCGATAATCATGATTTTGTCACCAGACAATATCACGCTGTTTATTTTTAGATATTGTCTAGGCCTAGTGTGCAGGTTGGGGACCTGTACAGGTGAGTGTTCGGAGGTGATTTCTCTCTCATTGTCTCATTCAGCAGTGAGACAGTGAGCTCAGGGAGGCGAGAGACATCTGAGGACGCGTTATTCTTCCGTATGAAGTGCAGAGACGCGCTGCTCTGTAATGGAATTATAAATATGCAGCAGAAAGGCAGGAGAGGAAGAGTCAGACTCAAAGAGAAATAAACGCCTTTGTTGTGAGCAGGCAGGCTTTTAAGTGCCGCGAGTGCTGTCATTTGTGGAACTGTGTGTGAGTGTGGGTGATGGAGGAGAGGAGGTTTTTTCTTTCTCTTTAAAAGAAATTTAAACCAGCTGTGTCGATAATGATTTTGAAACATCTCAGGACTTTCACTCTACACTGCCTGTTAAAAGTTTGGGGACGTCTAGCTTTTTAAAATGTTTTTAATCCAATCGATCATGTTTTCTTTGACCTCGTTTACACCTGGTCACTTCATGCGGATGTGGATGAGGCCACATAAAAAAGTGTAAATGCAGCCAAGACGCATTTAAAACAGATACAGATCTGATCACTCAGACCACTTCAGGAGCTGAACTGAGACGCATTTGAGCCACATGTTATAGCAGCGTAAACACATCCGTCTCTCCAAGACACATTCGACAACCACAACCCTCCCAGTACAACCAAACACCCTCCCAGTACAACCAAAACTCCTCCCAGTGCAACCAAAACCCCTTCTAGTACAAACGAAACTCCACCCAGTGCAACCAAAACTCCTCCGACTACAAACGAAACTCCTCCGATTACAACCAAAACGCCTCCCAGTGCAACCAAAACTCCTCCCAGTACAACCGAAACTCCCAGTACAACTGAAACCCATACCAGTACAACCAAAATTCTTCCCAGTACAACCAAAACCCATACCAGTACAACAGAAACATCCAGTACAACCAAAACTCCTCCCAGTACAACCAAAATGCCTCCCAGTGCAAACAAAACACCTCCCACTACAACCAAAACGCCTCCCAGTGCAAACAAATCTCCTCACAGTACAACCGAAACCCATACCAGTACAACAAAAACTCCTCCCAGTACAACCGAAACCCATACCAGTACAACTGAATCTCCCACTACAACCAAAACCCTCTTTATCCAAAAACCAAAACCAAAACGCCCACTTTATCCCTTTTTTGTGATGTCAGCACTCAAACCTTTGAGGTGCTTAAAGCACCTTCGGACCAAAAGAGATTCAATATGAGCTTTTAACAACAGTCAAACAGAAGATACAAGAAGCTGACCATCTAATTTACTAAAATGGGGGAAGGGGAAGTCCACCAACTTTACAAAATTTCTGCATAATTGAGTTCATGATGATTATTTATGATTCTTTGCCTCACAACACCCTGCATGTATCCCTCCACCAAGGCAGTTTAAAAAATGTAAGTTTTGGATCAAAATCTTCTCAAAACTATCGTAAAACAGTGTCTCAGACATCAGGCAGTGAATTCATAACCATTTCATGTAACTTTCTGTGAGGGAGCTTTTAGAGGTGGACGTCTGGTTCCTATCACAACCACTGTGAACAATTCTGACTCGGTAAGTTTCTCTAGAACAGAGCGTTTCACACTGAACCACTCTGAATGACTCTGAAACCTTAATTATGCATAAAAAATGTGAAGATAAGAAGGAATTTCCCTTTAACAGCAAAACAGCCCAGTGTTCTCAAACTTTACAGGCGTGCTGGTCAGAGACGGACTGACCTCCAGACAGCGGTGCATGTGCTGATGATCTGCTCGGTGATGAAGACGTATTAGTTGACTGTACGAGCTGTAATAGCTGTATGAGCGCATCAGTTTAGCACGGCGTTTCCATTGATCTGCCCCGGGCGGTTTTTAGGTCAGAAAGTTGCTCTGTGAGAGTGTTTAATGTGCAGTCATAAACTCCACGGTGAGTGAGGAGATGAGGGC